GGCTCACCATTGCACTCCGGTGGCGCTGACCCCTGCGATTAACCCAAATGTGGTTAACTCGAGTGCGCAATTTTTGGTAGCGGGGGACTGCGTTCGCGCTATCCCCCTTATATATTTCGTTTTAAGGAATGTTCTAGCTCCCAAGTGTTTTTACTTGCATATATTTAGTGGGCTCAACCAACCAAGTGAAAGAAAGGAGCTATGATAACAAAGATGAATTATTCTAATACAATATAACTTTTAGCAATCGCTATATTCAATTTCAAAGAATAGCTAGGCTGGCCTCATAGTGGCATCAAAAGTATGTTTACCATTCATTCAAATTATATACTATTATTGGGGTTTGTAGGTACTTGGAAAGTTATCCCATCGCCATTTCACAAATGCGAACAGAACTTTGCAAAACTTTATATATGATAGATAAATAAGAAGAGAATTTTATTCATACCATAAATTGTATGTCAATCGACCATTTAATGGGGAATGATAAACACTTTTAACCGGAAATAAGATATGTGGAAGGGTGAATATTGTTAAATGCGACTATATATTTTTCCAGAGAAAAAAACTTTATTTACTTCATATTAGAAGAAAACTGCCTTATGACATAAATTCTTGGAAGCCTAACATAGATACATATATCTGTAATCCGATATTAGGTCTCCATCTACAGACAGTCAACATTAATTCTTATTCAAATCATCATCAATATTCTCACCAATATCTTTGATCTTATCATTATAATACGATCATTATTATCGTGATCATGACAGTATTGATAATATTGATAACGACAGTAACCATATACTTAAGAAAAAAAAATGATGAAAATGATAAAAAAGAAAAACTAGAAATAATCATGACCATTGTAAATATGAAAACTATTAATACCAATTAATCCGAAAAAAAATAATAATGAAAAAAAAAAAAATAGCAAAAAGTTATATGAAAGCACTCAAAATATGATTCAATAGTAATAAACATTTCTGCTCATGATTAGCTATATCCTGTAGCTCTTCCTACTTACAGTGAGGGTAACGTGTAAGAGATACAGTTGCATGTGCAGAGCTGTATAAGCATATATATTTTTCTGAATTTTTCTCCATTGTACAACCTCCATTTCTTGGAGTTGCACAGCTTCAAAATTAGTTTAAGGCATACGGAAGGTGCTTGAAAATAGTGATAATTGAGTTGGAATTACCTTCACTCCCGATAATGGTCGGTTGTTGATGCCTACATTGTGGAGCAGATCTCAGTGACATGACTGGAGTACCAAGGTAACGAAGTTTGATGCCAAAACAAAAGACACATTTTACTAAAATTAATGAATACTCTGTTAGCACTGGCGGAAAGCTAGGTATTGTTTAACTCACCTTTGTCAACGATCATACCACGTTGAAAGCACCGCTTCTCGTCTGATCAGCGAAGTTAAGCAACGTTGGGTCTGGTCAGTACTTGGATGGGTGACCGCCTGGGAACACCAGATGTCGTTGGCATTTTATTTTATATGCTAATTATGTTAAGCATTTCTTTACCATTTATAGCAGCTCCTCTTATATGTGCTTAAATAAATCCATTGAAATCATACGTCAATCAACAGGAAATAGAGTAAGAGTAATGCCGTTAGGAAGAGGGAGAAGAATAGACAGAAAACTGATGTGTTAAGGGTAACTAAAGTAACTGCAATTCTGCTTCCCAAACATTTGATGAAGTTCCACCCGATAATAAATAGATTTTTAGGGCGATCCTTTAGAAAGGTCATTTATATACTATAATGATGATAGTGATAATAAATGTAGTAATAATAATAATCACATATGTAATGATATATAGATGACTAAGAATAAAATTAATGTTATTAAGGTATCAGTCTAAGAAATTGCTCACGATTACATTTTGTTGAAAATCTGATTGCCGTTTTGAAGGTTTGCTTTTGTACCATTCCTTGTAGATTTCCAGAGTGGGAAAACTGGAATAAATGATTCTAGTAACCAGTGAGCACAAAAGACTTATAACCATGTGCAATAGTATATTACTTAATCTTTATTCATTATTTCTTCAGCTTGCATTCTTTATAGACTTACACAGTTTGAATATTAGGCAGGTGCATGAGAGAGTGACAATTGCGTTAGAATTATCTATAGACCCGATAATGGTCGGTTGTTTTGATGTTTATATTGTGGAGCAGATCTCAGTGATATGACTGAAGTACCATGGTACTGAAGTTTGATGCAAAAACAAGATATAAATTCAACGAAAATGTATAAAGAATCTGTGATTACTGCAACAAAGGGAGGTAATGTTAATCTGTACTTTGTCAACGATCATACCACGTTGAAAGCACCGCTTCTCGTCCGATCAGCGAAGTTAAGCAACGTTGGGTCTGGTCAGTACTTGGATGGGTGACCGCCTGGGAACACCAGATGTCGTTGGCATTTTATTTTATATACTAATTATGTTAAGCATTTCTTTACCATTTATAACAGCTCCTCTTAGATGTGCTTAAATAAATCCATTGAAATCATACGTCGATCAACAGGAAATAGAGTAAGAGTAATGCCGTTAGGAAGAGGGAGAAGAATAGACAGAAAAACTATGTGTTAAGGTAAAAGTAATGCAATTCTGCTTCCCAAACATTTGATTCAGTTCCTTCGGATACTAAACAGATTTTGCCACTGTCTTTTAGAAAATTGATTGTATTCGATGATACTATCAGTGATGATAGCTGTATTAGTAATCTACATCTACAAAAGAACAAGAATAATATTATTGTTATTTAAATCAATCACGTTGTACTTAGTATTAATAAAAATTTGCTAGAATATAATTTACTATACATATAATGATAACATGATTTTCTGTATGATATTAATTTGCTGTGTAATAATATAATCTTAGAATTTGCTGTACAATATTGATAATATAATTTGCTGTACAAATGATGTAATTATACATTGCTATGTGCATATGTCGTAATAACTGGTATGATGAAGATGGTTATCATCACGATATTTCTTGTGTTTTTCTGTACAAATACAAATGCCCCTCATTAACCGGAAAGCCAACTAAATATTTGCATAAAATAGTGCGGACCGCGTGGTGTCCTCAGTGCGAGCGAGCGTGGGTCGGCTTGAGGCGAAGGAAAGCATACTTACCTGGCACAGGAGATACCGTGATCACGAAGGCGGTTCTCCCAGGGCGAGGCTCACCATTGCACTCCGGTGGCGCTGACCCCTGCGATTAACCCAAATGTGGTTAACTCGAGTGTGCAATTTTTGGTAGCGGGGGACTGCGTTCGCGCTATCCCCCTTATAACATTTCAGTTTTACAGCAAAGTATTCTAGATCCACCTGTGTAGCTCTCAAATGATTTTGCTACAATTTGTATTATTGGCTAGACCAACCAAGTGAAAGAAAAGTGCTATGAAAACAAAGATGAATTATTCCTATACAATATAACTTTTAGCATTCGCCCATTCGATATTATTTATTCCAATATATTACATATACTATTATTGGGCATTTTAGGTACTTTCAAGGTAATCCCATTCGAACAGAGCAGTGCACAACTTTTGTATATATACTGATAAGTAATAGTGTTTCATACCATAAACTATCTGACAATCGACCATTTAATGGGAAATATTAAACAGTTGTAACCGGAAGATATGTGGAAGCGAGAAATTTGTTAAATGTACCCATGTATAAACATTTTTCCCAGGGGTGAAGCTTTTCCTTCTTAGTAGAAGAAAACGACCTTATGACTTAAAATTTTTGGAAACAACAGATACAAAGATCTGTAATCCGATATTAGCTCTCCAGCTACAGACAAGCAACATTACAAGTACTTAATTTTTATTCAAATCATCAATATTACAACCAATATCTTTAATTTATGGTATGATCATTTTATCGTAATCAAGACTGTAATAATTATATCAATAAGGACAATAACCGTATATTAAAAAGAGAAATAACGATGGTGATAACGATAAAAATACTTGCAATAATCATAACTATAAAAATGTGAAAACTGATAATACTTATAACCAACAAAATATCAAAAGAATATCAGCAAAAAAGTCGAAAGCACTGTAGATATGATTCAATGATAAGCATCGCTGCTTATGATTAGCTATATAATTTATTTTTTCCTACTTACAGTAACGGCAACGTGTAGATAAAGTTGTATGTGCACAGATTTATAACCATATACTATAATATGTAGCTAATTTTTTCTTCATTACTTGTACAAGCTGCAGGCTTTACAGAGTTGCACTGCATACGGCAGGTGCATTATATTGTTGACAATTGAGTTAGAATTACCTATACTCCCGATAACGGTTGGTTATTGATACTTTGTGGAGCAGATTTCGATGATGTAAGTGGAATGAAGTTTGATATAAGAACAAAGGATACATTGCATTAACTTGTGTGAATAATCTCTGACATAAAGTTAGGTAATGTTAACATTATTTGTGTCAACGATCATACCACGTTGAAAGCACCGCTTCTCGTCCGATCAGCGAAGTTAAGCAACGTTGGGTCTGGTCAGTACCTGGATGGGTGACCGCCTGGGAACACCAGATGTCGTTGGCATTTTACTTTATATGCTAAATATGCTATGCATTTCTTTATCAATTCTAGCATCCCTTCTTATCTCTGTCAAGAAATCAATAGAAGTTATACTTGAATCAATAGGAAAGAGAGTAAAAGTCAACGCCATTGGGACGAGGAAGAAGGATAGACAGAAAACGGATATAGTAAGGGTAACTAAAGTAAATGTAATTTTACTTAACACATTAATATTTGCTTCTGATACTAAGCAGATTTTACGGCGACGTTTAAAATAATTTGCTGTATCCTATAAAGATGATGGTAATTGCATTAGTAATAAAAACAACAGTAATGATTTCTACAAAATAACAAGAATGAAAATATTGTAATTAAGATATCAGTTTAAGAAATCACTCACGTTGAGAGAGGGAAAATTGGCAGAAAATGACTGTGTTCATGGTTTTAGTAACCAGTAAGGCCAGCTTCCTTTGCTTGGATAGCAAGTAAAAGGAATTGGCAGCAACGTAAAAGACGAAAGGAAAACTGAAATGTAGATGTGCATTGCAATAAATATACAAACTGCTATTTGTAATTTCACCAACGATCTTACCACGTTGAAAGCACCGCTTCTCGTCCGATCAGCGAAGTTAAGCAACGTTGGGTCTGGTCAGTACTTGGATGGGTGACCGCCTGGGAACACCAGATGTCGTTGGCATTTTATTTTAAATGCTAAATTTGTTATGCATTTTATAATTTCTATCATTTCTTGTCTGATAAGAAACCAATTGAATTTATACTTGAATCAATAAGTAATAGATGGATGGATGTATATGCATGCATGATATATATATATAATATATATATATAT